CGTTATTTTGAATTTTGAAATGAATTTAAACAAAATTTGAAATAATAGCTTTTGATTGGTTAAAATAAAAATTTGTATACAAACGAACGAATGTACGCAATTACAGTTCTAACTAAGGCCACTCAGTAACAAATGACATGCATTCTCGAAGTAGTGCAATTTATCAAACTAACAAAAAGAAGAACTGAAGAAGTGACATAACCTAACTATTCGAATCAAACAATATAAACAATAATTAGATATTATAAAAAGAATGCTACCAGAATTGAATTATATGCACAACAAAACAATTATAGATGGTAATGTATTGTAAAGTGATTAAACAAAGTTATTTTATTGTGATTTATGTTTCAGAGCTTAATCTAAATACTATTGAACAATTTTTAGTATTTAATAGTTATCAAATCAAATACATGAAATTGTCTTTGAGAAACATTCCACAGAAGTGAAATACTTTAGTAGTTACGACTCAAGCTAATTGTTTTATATTAATAGTAATGAAAAGGTTAGTACATGTAAATACATTCTTTGTAGATTTAAATAAAATATTCTTGTGAAAATATAAATGCTACAAGATCTGGCAGGACATTATGTGTTTTCTTATTCAACGCCGCATGTCCGCCTGGGAGCACTCGTTCTATGAGTTTTATATGGATACTCGTAATCTGTAGGCCACAGGGAACATAGTGCTATACTTGGGTCGAGAAAATTGTGTCAAATAAAATAAATACATGATATTATATTAGAAAATAACGCATTTATTTGCAAACTAAAATGACAATATTAGATAAACTAAAAGGACATTATTAGATAAACTAAAGAAATCATTATAAAAAATAAAATATTCAAAAATAGAACCTAATTCTAAGCTGAAAAATTCATGAGTCAATAAATTAAGCGGTGTTCTTTTTGGAAACACTCCAAACACATTAAACGTTGGCGCACATCGCAGATTGTGTTCATTTTCTATGCATTTTTTCTGGCATATGGTGCCCCATGTTCCCTACTCATAGTTTTATAACAAATGTAACATCTTTTACGTGACAACTTTCTTGGTCCTTCAGCTTGCACTAACGTATGTCTGCGCCAGGATGTTGAAGGCAAGCTGAGTGATCCTGGATCCGCTTCATTCGCAGTTAGACCTAGAACAATTTCTTCTCTGAACTGAACTATGCTGATTCTTCTGTTTATTTTCGTGAACAGGTAGTGGGCATTTACAACATTTGTGTATGTAGCATAATAAAAAAATAGTTTTTTGTACCATTTGACGGTTCTTCTGAGGAAGGGGGCATAGGAACACATGTGGTCAGACAAGTCAAAAAATGACTTGCCTTTATTGTAATCAACTATGACTGATGGTTTCGTAACTTCTTTTCCTTTTTGGGTAAAGGTCACTTCAGAGTTGTCGTGCTTTGTGGATAACAGTAGCACGTCCCTTTTGTCTTTCCACTTCAACACCATTATTTTTTCTTCGTTTTCTTGTGCAGCTCTCTCACCTTTTTTGGATTGATGGATTTTTCTTTCGGTTTGACCTAAGTGTGCCGACGAGATGGGTTGATTTGTTGATTAATGTTTCGGCTAAGGAAACGCCTAGTATATCAATTATCGGTATATAATGTTCTCCCTTGATCCAGTAGTCCATCCAAGAGCTGCATAACGACTGTCTCGGCCACAGAAACATTGTCGGCTCTTTATCTGCCTGTGTAAACTTTGAATGAGTAGGTATATCCCCCAGGTCCACATAGCTTGAAAAGCTTGATCCCATACTTGTGCCGCTTATTAGGGATTCTGGGACAAATAATAATAATAATCATTTTTTAAATATTACAAGCTTCAGTGAAAACAAAGTATATGGGGTACCAAGATTACTTAAGCCAAAAAAGACCACCGGATCAGACGATATTTCAGCTTTTGACCAAAAAGATTGTTCTTATGTGCCTGTTCGTCCTCTCTTCATACTAATTAATATTTGTTTAAAATCCGCTACAATACCAGGGATCTGGAAATCCTCAAAGGTCTGTCTCATTTTCAATACGGGATATTTCAAATTATAGCCAAAAGAGTAGTTGTTTTCAGGAGAGAAACTGCTGCTCATATTATTATGACACATGGCTTTTAGTTTTATTTAATTTTACATTTGAGTCTGGAGGCATTTCCTACACAGTAGTAGAGGGTATTCCAATGAAAAGTAGCCCATTTCCAAAGCTTATAACTTTTTAACAAATCAAGAAACGTGCGGTTTTTGCTGATATGTGTTATTTTGCTATAATTTTTGCTCTAGTGACACAGAAATTATGTATTTCATATACAGGGTGTTTTTTAAAAATCTCCTCTTTTAAATTCACCGTTACCAAATTTTATCAAATGGAAACGGGCTACTTTTCATTGGGACACTCTGTATATACTTTCCCTTTGCAACTATTCTATATTGCTAATATAGTCCTCTTCTTCTTCCCTCTTATTCTCTCTCTACTATTTAACTGGCTTCTTAGGAAACGGTTATATTTAGATTTAATTAGGACTACGGGCCATGTGGTCTCCCCCACCTCGACCTTTTCAGATCTATTGTGGATAACGGTTATATTTACTATTACCTACTCTTTCAACACTCATTCTTTACTAACTCGAGCTAACCCTTTTCCCACCTCATCTCCCTTCACAATTTTTATCTCTCTCCACTTCTCAATAACCTCTTACTTTAATCGTAAGTTTCCATTTCAATTTAATTTTTTCAACTACCACATCAGACAAATTGTAGATTAATTGTTTTGAAATAATGACCTAACTCAAGTAAAATGTTTTTTTTTTTATTTTTTGTTGCTATTTTTCCTTTTTTGCATTTTTTTTGCCTTTTTTGCATTCTTTTGTATTTTTTTTGCAGGTTTTGTTTTTTTTGTAACCGTCTAGGTAACCTTTACTTTGTAACTTATATATAGAGTTTTTTTTTCTTATAAAAGATTATCACTTAAGAGAAAATGTATGATAATTTTTTTAATTTTTTAATTTGTTGATGAATTCTCAAAGTTAAATTGCTAACACAACTCCAAGTAACGTAGTATTATTGGAACTTTGAGGGTCAGTAACAGGTGGTAGTGACTTCTTCTTAACAATATAAATTAATTTATTTATCGACTTATATGATAAATATCTCTATTATATGCAACTTTGCAAAGGTTTTTGAAATCCTGCTAGAGCGAGTTATATGTCGTCATGTAAGTTGTAATATAAGTATAAATCAACATGGTTTCGTGAAAAGTCGTTCAACAGTCACCAACCTTCTGACCGTTACCCAATATATTGCTGAATCTATTGACAACAGAGCCCAAACTGATGTTATTTACACAGACTTTTCTAAGGCCTTCGACAGACTTGATCATGGCATTCTGGTCAATAAACTTGTAGCTTTTGGATTATCTCTCTCTTTTATTTCATTGTTTCAATCCTATTTATGGGATCGAAAGCAATATGTCCAGCTCAATCGTTTTAGGACTGCTGATTATAGTGCTTCTTCCGGTGTTCCACAAGGGTCAAATCTGGAACTCCTCCTTTTTATTATGTCCATTAATGATATTGCAGATGTTATAAATGTAAATTTCCTTTTGTATGCTGATGATCTAAAACTATACTGCCTTGTGAAGAAGATAGGTGATTGCGATAACCTTTCAGCAAACTTAACACGGGTTGTTGAATGGTGTTATCAAAATAACTTGTCACCAAACCTGGATAAATGTGAAGTTATGTACTACAGTTTAAAAACGAATATCCTAATCTTTAATCATTCAATAGAAAACGTTGCCCTTGAGCGACCGAAAACATTTACTGATCTTGGCTTCACGTTTGACACTGCACATTGATAATGTTGTATCTTTCTCCTATGCCATGTACGGATTAAACGCACATATTAATAGTGATTTAAAAAAAAAACATCTACCTTAAAAACTCTATTTTATGCTTTTATAAGATCAAAGTTAGAATATGGATCGATTAAAAGCAATTCAAAGACGATTTTTAAAACTGCTAAGCCTGACAACTGATGGCATATATTCTCTAATAGGTACACCTCACTCTGAATTACTACAAAAGCATAACTTTTTCAGTCTCGAAAGAAGGCGTGATTATCATGGTGTCATAATTGGATTATTTGTTGTCACTGTTATTATAGTCTCAATGTTTATTGTCATGTTAAATTTTAGCAAAACGGTTTTGTTAGAATATAATATTAGGTGATTTAGTAGACATCGTTAATTTTTTTTTTTTTTTTTTTTTCGAAAGATCCTCGTAAGAATTTTTTGCATATATATAGAAAAATGGAATCTGCGTTTACCTATGTTGGTTTATCATTTATAAATTTAAGAAATATTAATAGTCCTAATACGGATACCTGTGGAACATATTTGCATTATTATCATTTGAAACCGTTTCATCTTTTGTCATTATACTATCTTTATTGCATATATTTAATTTTTTGTATAAGTTCTCTTAATACCTCAGTTTTTTCACTAATTTTACATTACTTAACCATCTTATATATTATTTTACTATTGTACAGTTAGTTCATTTAACTTTTAATTTAATTAAACTCTCAAAAATTATTCTTAAATAAATTTTATTTATCTTCAAAATATTTTAGATATATAAACTCTTCTTGCTTACATTTTATACTTATCTGACATCTCTGATGATGGTCATTTGACTAAAACTACCAACCCCTGAACAATATTAATATTTGTTCAATACTGTGAGTTTTCTTCCCTTATTACCACGTTTGAGGTATGGATAACCTTCTTTCTTCCAAAAATATTTAGGTTTGTAATGTTAAAAACATATCGCAATAGCTCTAAAAAAATGCATTCAGAAAAAATAGGTTTCTAGCGGAATTTTATAAATAGCGTACCATACTTTTATAAAATAAATAATGAAGTCACCAAATAAAAACTAAATTTTATTAAATAAAAACGAACAAATAAATAAATAAATTAAAATCATCTCTCGATTTATCATTACGGTATGGTCTGGTATCCTGCGATAGGTAGTCCTTCGTCACCTGACGTCCTGCTCCATCCTGATGCGATTGATGGTAAAATCTCATACGCAATTTTCGGGTGTCCATGATGATTCTCTAAAAGGCTCTTCAACCCCACTGCACCTGAAATAGCAAGAGCGGCCAAACCGCTCTTGAATCCCGTGAATGCCAAAAAGGATATCAGAGACAGGACGATCGGGATAATGATCGCCGCCTTGAGTTTCAACAGAAGAATAATCGGAAGGATCAGTTTACGTAGTCTCTTTGAACGGCTTTCTGAAACAATAATTCAAAAAATATATTAACATATAGAGTGTGACTCACAAAATAATAATATATGTGATATTACAAGAGTATATTGTTTACCAAGTAGGAAAAGTCTAACATTCCTGGACGACTGTGAAGATTGCTAAGCCGAGACTTAGCACCATAGAGTCCAGGAATGTGGCTTTTCCTACGAGGTAAACATACTATTTTTCCGCAAATCGTTTAAAATTCGATAGATATGAATTAATTTTAAAAAAATCGCGAATAATTGTATTCACAAATAAATGGTGCTTTGAAAATCGTAATAAACTTGGTTGCGTTACTATGGAAACGTATTAATGTTGAATTGTCAAACTTGACGCATACACATTTAATTGCTGCTATTTTCGAAAGCAAAACAGTGTAAAATGATAAATGGTGATGAATTTTCCATTCCTGGGACTCCTCCAGAGCTGGTTGAGGCAGTGAATACTGATTCATTAGAATTATTGCCAAAGAAATCAATAGAAAAGTACGAATATGCATAAAAACGTTTTATAGACTATTGTCATCTCAGGAGGATGCACAATGGGCCTAATGAGGCCTATGTGCCGTGGGGGTAACCCACCCTCCACATGTTACAGATACAGATTCGAGTTCTTTTTCGGAAAATGTTATTCCTTGCAATTAAAAACAATATAGATATATCTACATATTCAAAACTTCATTCTTTATTAAAATCGCAAGCTCAAGGTTATAGGGCAAATAAATCTAAGATTTTAACGAAGGAACAAATCGAAAAATTTATTCAGAAAATTTAATGATTAAGGTAATTTACAAGGTTTTAATTTCTATTTAGATTACACATTTATTTATTTATTTTTTAGGTGGTTCTAATATTTGGTATTTCTGGGGCCTGTAGAATGGATGAGTTAGTCCAAATGACTCTACACGATGTAGACGATCTAGGTTTTTAATTAGCATACCTGATTCGAATACCAACAAATCAAAATCATTTGTAGTTAATCACATGTACTTGAATGTTTATCGAAAGTATGTTTCGTTAAGACCAGAAAACAGTGACCGATTTTTCTTTAAATATCAAAGTAGAAAAGGTTATAGACAAGTGGTAGAAATACATCAATTTAGAAAAATGCCTAAAATAGTAGCTACTTATTTGAACTTGGTAAATTCGACAGAATGTACTGGTCACTGCTTTCGTCGGTCCTCTGCAACAATATTGGTTGACTCTGGTGCCTACATAACTAGTTTAAAGAGGCATGGCAGATGGAAGTCATCAAACGTTGCTGAAGGATATATTGAAGATTCTCTTAATAATAAGGTTGAGGTAGCAAAAAAAAATTTGAAAGTACAAAATGTTCAACAAAATAACTTTACTACCCCGCATTTTGTCCAAAATGTTTCTCATAAATCTAATAATGTTCCTATCATGTTCAATAATTGTACTAACTGTCAAATAACTGTAAATATAACAAACTAAATTTAAAATGTATTCTGCAATGCATTGAGATTTTAAAAATTTAATCCTTATGAAGAACGTGTTTTCAATCATGTATGTAGAACACTGTCAACTGTAAGAATATTTTTGTGTACTTTTCATTGCCACTATTTTAATTGTAAATGTTATGATTGTAAATATTTTAATTGTGAATGTTTTAGTTGTAAATGTTTAATTTAAAAATGTTTGAATTGTAAATAATTTAATTAAAATGTTTCAACTGTAAATGATTTAATTTTTAAGGTTCTAACTATAAAGTGATTAGTTGTAAATATTTTATTTGTATATGATTTATTTGTAAATGTTTAATTATAACTTTTTAATTGCAAATCTTTAAATTGTAAATCATTTTATTTCAAATCTTCTAATTATTGTTAAATATTTTATTTTTAAATGCTTTAATAAAATTACAGATGCTTTAATTATAAATGCCTTAAATATAAATATTCTAATTGTAAATGTTTTAATTATGAATATTTTAGTTTTAAATGTTTTACCTGTAAATATTTGATTAAAAGTCTTAATTGTAAATGTTTAAATGGGATGTGTTTTTATTGTAAATGTTTTAATTGGAAATGTTTTAATATTATGTTTTAACTTAAAATGTTTTATTTGTAACTAATTAAATTGTAAACGTTTTAATTGTAAATTTTTTTATTGTCAAATAAGTGTTAAATTTTAATTAAACATTTTAAGATTGTAAATGTTTAAATTTTAAATGTTAAAATCGTGAATGTTTTTATTGTAAAGTCTTCAAATTGTGAATATTTTAACTTTAAATCATTTAAATGTACATTTTTTAATTGATGATAAATGTTTCCATTGTAAATGCTTTGAATATAAATTAATGTTTTAATTGTTAATGAAATTGTTTTAATTGCAATTGTTATAATTATACATATTTTATTTGTTAATGTTCTAATTATAATAGTTTTAAATGTAGTTATTTTAATTTTAAATGTCAGGGGATCGCTAAATGCTTAATTAAAATGGTAAAATAACTGCATGGTCAATGAAAACCTATGACTACAAAACAAGTTCAGATTCAGCGTTAGTGCGTTTGGCTGTTCGCGATATCTATAGGTGAGTAAACCCTCTAACCCAGGCAAAAGAAGCTGTTTGTATGATTAGTGACATCTTGATTAACAAATAATAATTTTACCCGTAATACCATCATATAATAACGTTGACCTGTGAATATATTATGTTGATTGTTTTTGTATAGATGATTTATTCATTTTCTTATCATTGTACAAATTTGCATTAAAACCAAGTGCACTAATCATGTTCGCGATATCTGTAGGTAAGTAAACCATCTAACACCCTATGACCTTCACCCTTTAATCGAATAGTGGGCTGGAGTGGAACTATGACTGCTAAGGTGACACAATCCACTAATATTTCTTCTTTTTCTTACTGTTTGATTGACGGATGATGGACTTGGACATATGACATTTGAAGTTTGAACACACGCGGTTTCATTTTCACCTGTTGGATGTCGATGTCCAGTGTGTTCATAAGAAATTTTACCATGCTTCCACGTGTTAAATTAAAACTTTGTAAAATAGGATAGTGGTTAACCATTTTTTTCGTTTTTATATTGTGATGTCCCGTAATTTTAATCTTTTTCCATCACATGCACACAACCTTACTGAGTTGTAAGTAAATGTTTTAATATTGTCAACATATAACTTTTACCAAAATTAATTTGTATTGTAGCTTAATATTTTTGGCCAAAATCTTCTGAGGATAGGTGTTTAAAGATGATAAACGACATGTCATTATATTCAGAATGTTATTTTTTATCGAAATAAGTAATCATACTGACTAGTAAAATAATTATGGACAAAATGCGTTTATAGCTATATTTGTTTTTATATTATAGCGCTAAAAGAGACTTCCAACTGCTGAACGTCTAAGTTCAACTCTATGTATCGTCTGGTGCAGTGGCGCAGCGAGGGGGGGTTTTAGGCGTTAAACCCCCCCCCCCAGACGCGACGCGGGCTAGACGATTTTTAAATTAAAAAAGTTAATCTAGGTAAAAAAAAATCATCTTGGCAACACTGTGTTCTGTGTTAAGGGTTTTTAAAGCGTCAAACCCACGCGTCTTTACTAATCAACATGTGGACAACACGTGGACAATATGTGACATCTGTGTCTAAATGGTTATGGATCTTTGGATACTGGCTCACAATTCAGTTCCAGTAGCTGGTTACGCAGGTAGCGGTGTTATTTCTGTGAAATATTGATTTTATGTAAATTGTGAGGATTTGTGTCATTTGCGAGGTGAATTTCCCGGATTATAAATACAATGGAAAAATTTTTAATAAAAGAACCAAAACTGGATTGTGCTCAGAGCAGCAATATTATTGTAAGTATTTTGTGAATATAACGCTAGTGCTAGGAGTGCTAGTGCCGCTTGGCGACGATTGCACCGTTGCCGCATTTGCCGCAATTTAATTTCAAACAGACCTTTTTTTAACTAATTCACTGATTTTTATATTGTAGTTTTTGAAATTGGCTAGTAAATTTATTTCGAATGAGAAAACATCAAGATCTTTTATGCGATATTTTCAATACATATTTCCGGATTATACATACTGAATAAAAAAGTCAAGGTGTTTTTTCTCTTTCAGGTTACGACAAACTTAACTAGCTCAGGTAATAATGATACAAATGAAAGAGAGCCTATATCTGAAAATATTGGTGAGCGACAGTTACAAAAAGACGACAATTGGGTACTTGATTTTGGGACGTATTTTGGAAAAATAATCGATAATGTTACAAAGCGGAAACTTCTAGAAACACCTTGGTCACCAGATATGTCTTTTAAATTTCCATCGTCAGGACCTAGAAACTTAAAATTCCAAATAAAATGGCTTAATGAGTGGAGCTCCCCAACTCTAGATTCGGTGTTCTGTAAGTACTGTTCGTTATTTTCCATTTGTCGGGCAACAAGCTAGTAAGGGTGGAAAACTAGTTAAAACTCCGTTTAAAAACTGGAAGGATGCCAGAGAAGAATTCAGAAATCATGAAAAACATTTATATCATAAGAATTGTATCGAACGAGCAGCTAACTTTTTAGATATTATGATGAGAAAGTCAAATTGACAAACATCGAAACGATCAAATAATTAATAATCGGAAGTGCCTTAAATCCATAATTAAAACTGCCATATATCTTGCTAGATTAGGAAACTCATTTCGGGGTCACCGTGACTCCAACCCAATCGATATAAATGAACCTCCAGTCAAAGGTGAGGGCAATTTTCGGTCTCTACTCAAATTTTGAATGGAGGCAGGAGATCATATTTTAGCAAAACACCTAAGTACAGCAGGTGCTAATGCAACTTATATTAGCTGGCAAATTTAGAATGAAATAATATCATCGTTCAATTCGATTTTATTAAAAAAACTCGTTGACAAAGTAAATGCTGCAAAAAACTTCTCGGTTTTATGTGACGAGACAACCGACATAAGTGGTACTACTCAAATGTCATTATGTGTAAGATTTGTGGAAAATGGCATGATCAGGGAAGAATTTTTGCAGTTTATTCCTGTTTCTAAAGTTACAGGCGCTGGTTTAGCAAATAGTATATGCAATGCCATGGTAGAAGTAGGGCTAGATGTAAAAAATCTGGTTGGTCAAGGTTACGATGGAGCTAGTGCAATGAGTGGTGCTCTAAGAGGAGCACAAGCAATAGTTCGGCAGAGCTACCTCAAAGCCCTCTACGTTCATTGTTCGTCACACTGCTTCAATTTAGCACTTTCTGATGGATGTTCAGTAGCAGAAGTACGAAACTGTCTGGGTACTATCGAAACGTTTTACAATTTTTTTAATTTTCCAAAACGGCAACGTGTGCTGGAACATGAGATCAACAAATTAGAAGAAAAACCTAAAATAGAAAAACTTAAAAGATGGATTCAGAGACACTACGCCGCGAATGCATTCGCGTCTCTTATAAACCCACTAATAAACGCCTTGTTTGAGATTTCCACATGGACCGATAAAAAAACAGCAACTGACGCTCAATTACTTTCATCGGCAATTTGTCAAAGTAGCTTTCTTTTATGTACTTTTGTGGTAAAATATGTGTTTTCGCTATCTTTACCACTGAGCAAATACTTACAGACACCAAATTTGGACCTGAGTTTAGCTCTTCAATCAGCTGAAAATGTCAATAAATCTTTAACAAAAATGAGACAAGAAGTCATTTTCAGATATTTACCTGAAAACAAAAAGGATTTGTGATGAGTTTGATATTACAATCTTACAACCTAAGACCACTTATAGGCAAACTAAAAGAAATAATGTGCCAGGATCATCACAGGAAGAGTATTATCGAAGAGCTCTTTATATTCCGTTTCTCGACCAACTAATACAGGCAATAGATGCAAAATTTTTAAATCATAAAAATACTCTTGAACCTTTTCAAAAACTTCTATGCAATAATAATAGTTTAGACATTAAAGAAGTTTTTAATTCCACCCAACATCTCTTGGAATTTTATGAACTGGACGATTCTGGTGCTATGGGAGAAGTTACTCTTTGGGTCCAGTTTATCAAAGATAAAACAGAAAAGCCACGAAGTGCGATTGAAGCTTTGGAAAGATGCAATAAAAATTTGTTTCCCACGATTCACAAACTTTTAATTATAATGGCAACTTTATCAGTCACAACATTTTCTTGTGAGAGATCGTTTTCTTCCCTGAAATTTTTAAAAAATTATTTGCGGAATGCTACTAGCGAGGACAGATTAAACGGCCTAGCTTTGATGTATATACATCCAGATATTCCTATTCTGGAAGATGAAGTGCTTGATGTCTTAGCTCTCCAATCTCGCCGTCTTACAATTTTATTATAATTAATAAGTAGGTACATTTAAATTTATAATCTTACTATGTTTTTCGTTTCTTGATTATGGGTAGATATATGCAATTTTTTTTAAAACCCCCCTAATACAAAATTCTGGCTGCGCCACTGGTCTGGTGGTGTTTTGATTAATATTTCTTTTTTTCCATTTATCTTATTAGAGTTGTTTGTGTGAGGTTAAACTTATTTTTCGTAGGCACTACATAAATAATTAAAAAAAAAAATATTTTTTTAAATATTCTTACATTTAAAATAAAATCAAATTTTTCCTTGTAATATGACCAGAAAAATTTGATGTCTGACGGAAGAAAGTAGTAAATTTTTTCAATTACTGACTTGCACAACAATTTAACACAACAATCTAACAATCTAACAATGAAATTTTATAGAAACTAAAGCACATTTGTGTATGATTTCTGGTCTGTAAATATCAAGACATCATAAAATGCATTAAGTTAACGGTAGACATAGTGCAATTAAAAATACTATTTATAAAATATTCGCATAAATCGCATACATAGTCAAGAAAAAATTTAAAATGCATTAAAGTCGTTAATTACAAAAACTACTCTGAAACATTGTACGATTTATAGATTAGTCATTAGTTTAATCAAATAATTAGTTAAACGAAACATCTGCAAAATGAAATCTACTTAGCAATTAAATAAAATATTTAATTACTGTGTCCCAGTTACTCGCTTACTTTTGATAATATTAGATTTCTAATAGTTTAAAATTAAGATATTTATTTGATATTATTAAGTATGTATTTGACACGTTTGCTTGTTTAATACGTACATGATTTTCATTTAGGAGTCCGCTACTGCTTGGTTAATAGCCTATCTTGCATAGGCCTCTGATTTTTCTGTTTTTTCGAAAACGATATAAGATATTAATTTCAATGAAAAATAAATAAGATATAAAAGGATATGTCTTTCCTATAGTTGTAAGAAAAAATTAATATTAAAACTTTTTAAGTATTAAAAAGGCATCTGAAATTTTATAATTAGTTATATTTCTTTGCTAAGTTTTAAAAATTAATTAAAGGTAAGCTAAGATAAAATATAGTATTACGTCGAGGTAAGGTCCATTTCTCAGCTTCTACTTTTATTATAATTAATATTATAACAAACAAATTTGGACTGAGGAATGAATCTTATTAAGCCCAAAATCACAAAGTTTAATAACAAAGACAGTTAGTAAATAAGTTATCAGCAAATAAGATAATACAAACAAAATAAAAAACTGGACATTCTGCTTTCCTTAAAAAGCATGTAGTTTTATTAGGCCTTCTGCACACGGAGCTTATCGTCATAGACGCGTACTAGATTCGTCCTGCAGCGACGATTCCTCTATGCCTACCCTTCTGCACACGAATCAAACATTATTTTTTAGACAAATAAATATGTTGAATTTTAATTAGTTATTGGAAAATCAAAATAAGTCCGATTTCCCGATAGCATAGTATTGTATAAGAAAAATAGGATGATAGTGCTTATTGTGTTGGATTTGTGTCCATTAATTACTCTTTACACACATTCTACATTTGTTAACAATAATAATAATAATAATAATATTTATTCAGAAAGCAGAATCCATATACATAAAATAGTGAAACACAAGAAGTTTTAACAAAAATACAAGGATTATCTACTATACTGAAAAGGAATCGTATTCATCGTAGCCTATCAGAAGACAGACTAAAATGGTTTTCAATACGCCCGGTCAAAATTAATAGTTTAAATATAAACACCCCTTAAATGTAGTACATATACAAATACATAATGGATACTAGAGGTGGGAAGTTCGAATCTTTCTACTGAATTAATTCATTTGATTCGTTCACCTAAAAAGATTCGTTCTTCAAGATTCGTTCTCAAGTGATTCACTTTAGCGAACCACGAACGATGTTATTCCGCCGATCCGGCGAAGGAAATCGAACCGGACTTTTATGAATTTGAATACTACCTAACCTACCTACCTACTAGGTCGTCGAGTAAAATAATTATAACCAGATTTATTTTAAAGTAAAGCGAATTAATGTTTCATATTTCATAAAAAAAATGCAGCTGAATAATAGATACATCTTTGTCCGTTAAGATAAACAACAATAAAACAATTTTTTTTAAATGCTAAATATATAGCCAAAATTAACGCAAAATTATATATTCACGATTCGTCATTTATTGTTTTAATTTTACTTTGATTTAAATTTATTCATCAGACAACACGCATAAATTGTTTACCTAAGCTTAATACACCTCCCGTAAAGTGAGAAAAACATTAAAGACACATACCGCCTATCAGTTAGAGTTCTCGTATTATGCCGTAGAACGTAGAACAAAAGCGACCAATTTGCCGATGCCGATGTAAAATACCAAATCTTCGAATCCGAATCGAATGAACGAAGCAACCAAACTCGGAACTCGGCATGTTTGATCGATCGCAGAGCCATCGAGCAATTGACTCAAAAAAGATTCGAATCTTTTAAAAACAGGGAATCAATTCATTCGAGTCAGTCCACTGATTCGTTCTTTTTGAACGAATCGTTCGCGAACGACACACCTCTAATGGATACACATAAAAAAATGAAAATTGTAATTAATAACAAAGACATCATAAATACCTACCTAGTCTAGTAGACGAAGCTCAATGAAAATTAGTGAACGTTGCTTCAAGCAATAAATATAAAAATATACAAAGATCAATCAAATAATCACAAATTAATATTTATATTTTAAAATCGATCAAAAGCTGTCCCCGAAGTAACAAAAATTTCAACTTATTTTTAAAAGTTACATGACTTAATTTTTTAAACTCTGTTGGTATAAGATTTAAGATACGGCCTATTAAATATGAAAATTAACTTTTGAACATAGCAGTGGAATGTCGAGGAATAGAGATATCATCCTTTCTGCGAATATTAATATTGTGTACATCGCTCCTAGACATGGGTAACGCAGGCTGCGTTGCGTTATTGCGTTAACGCAGTTGTATGCGTTATGAGCGTTGATACACCAGCTGTTACTGTATCAGCGCAACGCAATTTTCGATTGAGTCGAAAGGATCGCGAGTTGTTGGTGCGCCATGCGCCAGGCACTGATTGCGTTTTCCGTGACGAGTTGAAATTTTTAATTTACGTAATTCGTAATGAAGATTACCCAAAATCTATCAAGTAAACATGTTCTTTGCAACATGTCACATCATTCTTTGTAGGATTGTAGGTCGAATTTTGTGGATTTTAACCTTGTACACTGTCAGTTTTTAGTTCTTCCCATTTTGATTGACTACTAGTATACAAAAGTTATATCCTTTTTATATAAATTGAAATTTTTGTATTCTTTGTAAAATCCGAACACAATGAAATAAAAAATGGGTGCATTACACTGTTATATTTTCGTTTATTTTTAAACATATAATTTAGTTAAATTCCCAATTGCGTTATTGTCTTGAACACGGTTTAACCCTTATAAAAGGACAGCCCGCGCTGAATAACACCGGTATCATGCGATACACCGAGGTGCAACGACTTCATTCGGCGCAGGCAGTGGTGTGACGCAATAACGCAATTGCGTTAACGCAATGAGTTGGCGCAATAGAGTGCGCCGGAGTTAGTGTATCAACGCAAAGAATTTTAGTGCGTTACCCATGTCTAATCGCTCCTGAATCTTATTTTGTTATACAAGTAGGGGGCAGTTTTAAGATTGACAATTTTTCGGTAGAGACAACAGGTGTGTAAAAAACGCGCTTCATGAACAGATAGCCAAGACAATTCAAATCGCTTAGCTGACACTCTTTGCCTTTTTTTTAAATTATACACTAATCTAATACAAATATTTTGCATGTGTTGAAGACGTTGACTATCATATCGTGTTACACAAGGGCAATATACCGAATCGCAATAATGCATATGTGAAAATACTAGTGATTCGCACAACCTACGTTTAGCTTGATGAGTTAAGATGTATTTATTTGCATATATCATTTTTATGTTAGTCATACATTTTTTTATAATTTGATTTACGTGTTTTACAAACCGTAGATCCGTATCTAAAAATAAGCCCAAGTTTTTTGATATTAAGTAGGTAAAGTTTCATTATTTACTATAATCTTAAATTGATCCTTATATTGAAGCCGACAGTGCTTTCGACCAAACAGCAGGGTTTTTGATTTAGAAGAATTTATATCAAGACAGTAGTCATTAGATAATTGAAAAAGTGCCGTTAAATCCCTAGTTATATTTTTAATGTTATTATGAAAATCTTTAGGGGGAAAGGATATATATAACTGTGTATCGTCGGCATAAAAATGTGAGCGGCAATGCTGAAGGCAATCTTGAAATAAACAAGTATAAATACAGAAGAATAGAGGCCCGAGAATAGAACCCTGTGGAACACCGTTTGTTATATTTTTTGGAGAAGATAAACGATTATGTAATTTAACTCTTTGAAACCTATCACTTAGTTACGTACTAAATTCAAAGCTGTATCGCTAAAACCAATGAAATGCAAGACTCCTAGCAACAGCTGATGATTAATTCTATCAAAGGCTTTACTGTAATCAAGAAGTACTAGAATAGTAAGAAGGTTATTATCATTTGCCGTAATTATATCATCAGTTATTGACAGTAGTGTCGTATTGCAACTATAGTTGCGTCTAAAGCCGGACTGATTCGATGGTATTATTTGATTATCATCTAAATGACTTTGTATTTGTTCATATAAGATTTTTTCATATATTTTAGCTGCGGTGCACACTATACTAATTGGGCGTATATCTTTATATTGAGTAGGTTTTTTAACTTTACTCAAAGGTAGTACGTGGACAGCTTTCCATTGAGATGGAAAAGTCGCACTATTGATTGACGTATTGATAATGTGAGTAAGATATTTTATGATATAGGGACAACAATACAGGAGCATATCTAGACCAACTTCATCAGCTCCAATTGCATTGGATTTTATACTTAACAATCTACTGTATACAACATTATCATTTACTTCCTCGAAAGAAGAAAGGCTAACTTCTTTTTTAGAGTTAATAAGTTTGTTTAAAATATTTAAATTCGGAGAATGTTGAGATTTAGCCGATTAAATGAAAAAATCATTCAACATTTCTACATCGCTTAACTCATCAGGAATATCACTGTTATTTTTTCGACAATAAACATTTAATTTTTTTAATTCTTTATATAACAATTTAGGTGAAGTTTTATTAGAGAGTTTGTATCGCAGATACGCTTTTTTTTTCATTGTTAACAGCTCTATTTGTAAAGTTTCGTAAAAGTTTGTAATAGTCCCAATGTGCTTCTCTCTTAGTCCGCTTAAAACGTCTCAGAGCATTATCGCGCAACTTGAAGAGTAATTTTATATTATCCGTTATCCACGGCTTGGACTGCTTATTCAGAACCACCGAGTGAATTGGGGCGAAAGTGTCAAATATTTGCAAAATAAGTGTTGTGAGTATACTAACTTTAGAGTCAATATTATTAGTGAGCAGGATATTTTCAAACGGAAGCCTGCGTAGCTCAGTTTCGAATAACATTTTATCAATTTTTTTAAAGTTACGGTACCTAATCTTGTTAACTATTTCGGTTTTAGAATCAATAAGAATATTCGTTTTAACCAGACTGTGATCACTTTTTATTTCATCGTGCAGTACGTCACAATCACAAACGTTTATGCTGTCAGTGCATATTACTAAGTCTAGTAGCGTTGCAGAAGTTTTAGAAATGCGTGTCGGTTGAGTCACATATTGAGTTAGTCCAAAGCTTTCTAACAAATTATTTAAATGTCGAGAAGCAGCCGTGTCGCTCAACAAATCAATGTTAAAATCACCTGTACATATTATATTTTCAAGTGAAGCTAAAACATTCATCATAACATTTTCATAATCTCTAATAAATTCTAAAAGCGGCTGTTTAGGTTGACAATAAATTCGTAGCATAGTAAAGGATACCATATTTTGAATTTCTATCTAAAAAAAATAATCATGGAGCATATTTTTGAGGCGCCTAGGATGTTTCTTTCGTTTCATTGTGCGGTGCTAAACTTATTTATATAATATACCACGGTCTGCTCACGACTCGCAGATAATCAAAAGCGGTTGCCTTTGTAGATTAGAATTAAATTATTTCCGCAAAGTAAAGAGATGCTGCATCAGCATTTTTTTGCCAGTTTACCAGGATATATTAAGGAAAATGAGAAAAACGATTTTCATTTCAATCTGTTCATTTAATTTTGATTTAACATACAATAATAATGGTAACACAATCAAATATAAGTATATCGATGGCTCAATCAAATACTGCCACAACTCAAAAACTATTGTTTCCAGAAATTTCATTTTAAAATTTTTAAGTCTCTATTATTATTATTATTATTTTGTTTTTGACATAAAATTTTTATATTTTATTTAAAATTTTTGATATTTTGCTGTTAAAATTAACGATTACGATTATAAAAGCAGGTTATTGCATAGTTTTTATAAAATTTGGGTGTTTTTGCAGAAAATAACTCGAATTGAGCTAGTTTTAGACACAGTCTGTGACTAGATTTTAAATAATTTTTGGGCATATTTAAGGATATTTTTATTTGTGGAGGTATTTAAAGTAAAACCTTAATGATATTTTGCATCCATTGGACCAAAAATGTATTTATTTTTGTTTTTTGACTTGTGGCGGTTTTTGATTGAGCCATCGATATATTAAAAATTAGTAAGAAGATGATTTTTGTTTAAATCAGAACTTTATAGTATTTTTTCTATGTTAGGGACAGCACTTTTATTTTATTCATTTGTTCATTTGTTGTAATGTTCACTAACTCCTGTTCCTACTTCACATTATAGAGAAATATATCTTGTATAGCTCATGATTATATTTATGAATAACTATAATGTTGTACAGGGTGTTTCTTAGACCCGTATTTATAAACAGATCTCAGCCAAGTTCGAATCAGCTTAGTGTCGTCCTTGAACGAAAATCGAAGTTTGGTTATATCGTATGAATTTAGAAATGGGTAGTAACAAATTCGCAAATGTACTTAATAGTTACAGATTTGCTACTATCCATCTCTACATTCGAGTGTGACACCGGAACCACCTGGAACTTTAGAGATGTTGTAACCGAACATCGATTTTCGTTCAAGGACGACTCACTCAAGTCCTACTCAGCTCTGGGCAACAAGCTTAGAACCACATTCTGAACTTCAAATAATGTCACAATCAATTTTAAACAATACACCTGCAGTTCGTTCGCTAGTGACTTTCAAAAATCATAAGAATCGCTCTTGAGGAATGCCATCCAATACATATCACACAACAATGGATTATTGACTTAATTTTGCTACATCTGTGGTTTCATCAAGCGCAATTGGTACGAAAGGTGCTTTTTTAATTTCACTTTTAATGTGATCTACCACAACGTCGGCAGTACATTTAATTAAATCATTTTGGATTCTGTTTGATGTATCTCGGATAGTGGTCGAATCAATAAAATGAATTTTTAAAGTATCATCGTATATTGCTAAAAAAATTAGAAGGTCCATGTAATTTTCTCGATTGGCGGATCCACTTGCTTCATTGTGACCCTTAAAACTTAGTTAATGCTCTCCCAGAAAACAAGTTACATCTATTAATCGTTGTATGACGTCCCTATTTTTTTTACCCTTCCATTGTGAATTTTGTTGCTTATTTTTAAATGATTGTTCAAACTATGTTCAATGCGATAGGTCCCGAATATTTTTCCCTTAATTGTAGCACTTATTTGAGATTTGCTATTTATATGTCGTTTTAGACTTTTGTGAAAATTATTCAATTCTGTAATACCGACTGAGTTCCAATGTGTTTTTTCAGCTATATTAAAAAGTAGGCCAGGCCAACAAAACAATGTCATCAAAGTTTTGCAGCCAGTTAACCATTCATACTTTTCATAGGACCCTACGTGAAAATGCCTGGTAAATTTCTTTGATAACTTTTCTACTTCCTTCTCTAAATTGATAGGATCCTTTAGTCTACTAGAATTAATAATGTCCGTTTTCTCTTCAAAATTTCTACTTGAAAATCCTTTTTTCAACAAAGAGCACACAATACAGACACAATTTACCAGATTATTATTGTTCACAGGCACAGTGCATAGTTCCTCCATTTTACAAAAAAAAAAAAAAAAAACAACTACGAAAAACAAACCGAAATCTACGATTTTTCTCACACGTCGATTCGTGATGCGAATTGCAATATGCGTAAGGCGACGTAAAAATCGCTGCCTCTCGACCGTGTTTCACGTTCCCAAACGGACTGACTACTATCGCAGCAAAGCAAGGTCAATAACATGAATCGAAACTTCTTGGAAGATGAACCGGCTCTTTCAAGACGCGCTTCCGCCGACGGACTCGAAGTATATGGTGTGTTTGCTTGCACAATTAATTTTCTCATGGGTGGTGCGTGCATTTACACACTACACCAATGAATTGTTAGTACATTCACGAAGTTTCAGAGAAAATATCGTACCTAATTTAATATTAATTTCTACGCATTGTAAATTGAAAAATATCTATTTTTAAATCTAGAAGTGTAGGGAAGTGGTACTTCCCCCGCTTCCATGGACCGCACGCCCCTGCATTAATAATAAATCTACTTCCATTGGAAAACTGTTGTCATTGGCACACTGTCACTGTCTTTGGTACACAACATACGTCATTACTAACATTGAAAAATTTTAGAATTATTTGAACTTTGACCATAATTTATTTGAATATCCTTTAGGTACAGGTCTGATAGACAGGTACTATTTTACATGATATGTGGTTGAACAGTCACTGCCATATTTAAAACGGAGTATTTCCTCATTGTGTTCTATCTGTACCTAAAAACAGACATTAGCTTATATAACTAATAAAGCCAAAAAAAAAATAATTTTTAGGACTTTTTAGTTTTAAAAAGCTCCTGCTACACTTTTTAAAGCGGTTCATAAAACAATAGTAAAAACGAAAACCTCAATAAAACATCCTAACCTAACCTCACTCTTGAAGTTCTTATTTACTCTACAAGTCATTCAAAATATAAAAATTAGAAATAATATATTAACCATTTTTCTCTTTCACTGATCATTTCCAGAATATTAGGAGCCTAGGAAAGTTTTGATATTTGTTACACAATGTACCACAATGAACTTATTAAACACTGAAGAGATGGAGAAACATATACATTTTCTTTTTTCATTCTCTATGGAAATTACCACTTTTCTTTATTTTAAACAATTTATCTTTAAACGTCAACATAATGTGATTGGGTTGAAAAGCTAGGTTATGTTCTAAAACAAACTTAAGTTCTTATTAAAACTATGTAGTTTTAGAAGAGCCCTATCGTTTATTAGATTAAATAAATTATAAGAGTTATGCTGTAAAATTGTAGAAAATGTACTTTAAAGGTTCTGGGATCCATTTAATTTAAAGTATAATCCTGAAACACTTTTTAAAACTAAGTTTTGAAACCTACTTAAGATAACTGCTAACAGTATGCCTTTTTAACACCAAACACACCTTAGGAGTATCTTCAAACTAAATAGTTCTATAATTACTTATTAATTAACTCTTACAGGACAGTGATAAAGCATAGTTTACTTTAGGATAAATTAGTTTTCTTAAACCGATTTAAAGGAATCTATAAAACCAAGTAATAAGATCAATTGATCCTGCAGTCCTATTAGCAAAAAATATAACTGTAATAAAATAATTATTAATTTCTATGCTTTTACAAAACCTAATATAACATAAATAAAACTTTATTCTCTTAAAAATGTTACTTGGGTGATTCGAGAAAACTGACGGTGTGTAATAGTTTTTATATTGGGGATGTTCGGTAATATATCAAATGTACAATAAGCTAAAAAATGTCTAACTAGTTGAGTGTCTAGAACGCCGGCACATAATATTAAGATGTAATGAACAAGTTATTTATGCTATAAAATGCTTAAGAGTCTGGTATAGCAAATTTTACAAAATTAAAAATAACCTTTAAAAAAATTATTTTTAATTTATAACTCGTCGGTTTTAAGGTACTCTATAACGATATGGAGAGACACCTCATTACAAGGTCGTCAGCACATAGAGACAAAACATCATCCTTGCTATCAATATTTATACCTTGTGCACGTTCTTGTAAAAAAAGGTCTATAAAACTTTGCAAATAAAAATAATTTAATTTATATTATTCCGGTCCTAGTTGGTAATATTATCGGTTCAATTTTATTGATTTTTCATTCTTTTGCCCAAAAAACTTGAAATTCAAACAGTTTAAGGTATTCGTGACTGACTTGTCTCGTTATGAACCATGCCCAAATTCGTAAAAACTAAGAGAGGTCACAATCAAAAAAGAAAGTATGAAACGAAAGTTTAAACAACTTTCTTTTATCTTCAATTCTTAATTCTTTTGCATCATCAGTAAAAATATTAGTAAAAATATTTATTTTCGTATTTATAGATAATTCTCATTAGACTTTTCTAAATAATTATTATAATTATTCTTCTCGTTAATTAAAAATCTAAATTAGTTATTTCATTTACTTTTATTATACATAAAATATCTTTTAACAACGGTAGGTATCTGTAATTATAATTGTATTAAAAAACTCTTACAAAATTTTCACTTAGATTTGAATACATCTGATAGCATTTTAACCTTAATAATGAAATATTACAAAAAAAAATTAATAATTTTTTTGTGCAATTGGGAAAAAATTTTATTCAGAAATTTTACCACTGCCGTTAATTTAATGAACTTATTTCTTTCAGACAAAAAACAAAAGGTAAAAATCGAAAATGATTTTTGAATAGTTTGCAAGTATTGCAGGGTGTACCACAGGGAAGTATTTTAGGCCCTCTGCTATACACCATGTACACTTCTAACTTCCATACCTATCTGTCTCACTGTAATTACCATTTCAACGCAGATGATACACAATTGTATTATTCGTTTCCTTTATCTGACATTAACTTGGCACAAATACAAATTAATAAAGATTTATCAAAATAGAGTCATTATCAGAGAGACACCTATTAAAAATAAACACAAAAAAATTTTGCGCCATTTCGTTTGGATACGAAAAACAGGTTGCTGGCTATGGAACAACTACATATTAATATAGGTATAGACATTCTTGCTTTTACTAATAATTGTAAAAACTTAGGACTACCTTTTGACTCTAAACTTCATTTTGATAAACACATATCAGAAAAAATAAAAAGAGCTAATGCTTCACTAAGATTAATTTATCCCCATCGATTGATTTTAAATTTTCAAACAAAATGATTTTACCGGATTTTAGTTCTTTCACAATTTACTTATTGTGACACTGTTCATGGTCCTTTCCTCAGAAAATCGGATGTATACCGTATTCAGAAAGTTCAAAATTCATGCTTACGATTAATTTATGGTATTCGAAGAATAGAATTTCTCATAAACTGAAGGAAATAGGTTGGCTAAATATGTATAACCGTAGAAAGCTTCACTCCAATTGCTTTTTCTATAGAATTTTAAAAACGAAAAGTCCCCTGTACTCAATTAAATTTAGAACGGACATTCCTAATTTGAACTACAAAAAATCAAATTGCTATTCCTCCTCACAACAAAGAGTTACTGCCTTTACGTATCAGATTTCACTAGCTGGTCATTTTTTGGATATATCAAGTTTCTCTTTATCGATTAATGCATTCAAAAATTAAAAAAAAATTGTTTCAACAGCAATAGTTGCTTAATAGTAACTTAACTTTAAATTTATAATTGTTATTACTTTTTCTTTTTTTTTTAATTCATCCTTATTTTTCAATTATTGTGGTATGGTCAGGGTAGGGTGAAGATGTATTGGAATATAATTTATATATGTATGTATTGTTTTTTAATAAAGGATGGCGAAGAAGAATTACTTAGTAGACCTATCACCACTCCTTTTGTTCACCATCGTTAATTATTTATTGCCTTTAATATTTATCTGTAAAGTATTTTTATTTTATGTGGTAAACAATAAACGATTTATTAATATTAATATTATTTACTTCATTTATCCAAAGGTTCTTCAGTATTAGATTTTTCTATGAATCCAAATTGTATTTTCGACAGAACTTTATTTTTATCCAGGAATTATATTAATGCATTTTTTACAGCTTCTTCAACAAGCAATAAATTCATTCGCTAAAATTTTGCATTAAGAATCGTTAAAATTATAAAATAATTAAATCTACAAGTTCATGAGCACGTTTCATGAGCAAGGTTTCGTTCCGCCAAGCCGACTAGATTGTGAAACGAGAAACGCGGAGAATTCAGTCGAAATCAAGAACGGCTATGCCGGAACGAGCGTATCGGAGAAAGAATGAATGAGGAGAGAAAATGTTGGTTGAAAGTCAAAGCAGGTCATGGACATCCGGAAGGTACTGCCCAGTGGGTCAGTAAGCTAATGAGGTACGCGTGCGTATTGGTTTAGCTGCACCCAAGGTGAGGACCGTGAGGAGTATGCGATTAGGATGGAGGACT